ATATTTATAGAAAGCATTTAATGTTAGAAAAGATCATTTATGCATGTAATGTAAATGCTCTTCAAGTTTGAGGCATTAATTGTAACAATATATACACCAAATATTTTGACCATATTTTCTTCTATCACAGCAAGAAAACATTTTTTGAGAGACACCAGGACTGCAGCTGACTGGTGCGGTAACAGAAATTGAAATAGTTTTATATATATATATAAACTGATGATGCATACTACATACCAACAAGTCGATGAGCACCAAATTAAATCCCTACACAAATCTGCGTGGGCAGAAAGTTCTCCAGCGGAACTGTTCACTTCTTTCCTGTTTGTGAAAACATAGGACTGTGAGATGTTTTGCACAGAACTTGTGGATAAAAACAAATGGGCTACTGTTGCCATATTTGAGTAAGAGTTTTTCATCCTTCAGGATCCAACAGTTCACATACAGTTCACAAGAAAGGATTAATAAAGAGTGAACAAAAGCTGAATAGTCTCCATAAAAGTTACCTTTTTTGCCATCTAGTCCAGCATCAGAAAGTCATAATCATCGTCAGCCTCTGCTGTTTGTACTGTAAAAACTATAGTACTTGAACTATAGTATAAAAGTATATTCTTTTTAGAATATATATATAGTGTATATGTTAAATATATGAAACAATTAAACATTAATTGAAAAGTACATTACACAATGGGCTTAGTTTTTGGAAACATTGTTTGGTTATCATTTATGATGAAGAAGCACAGGGCAGAAGGAACATCAAGGAAAAGTAAGTTAAATAATAAAATAATTATTTCTCTGAAATGTCACTTTTGACAGTGTTGTAAATTATTAGTGAAGTTCACAGATCCAATTGTTGTGACAATTTTGGCATATTTTGGGTCAATTGGAGGCTGTAATCCACACCTAAAGGGGCAGATCTTCAAAGAGACGCATTGAACTAGCCTATTGGTAATGGTAACACTGCGACGTACAGAATCAAAAATGACTTGTTCAGTTCATTTTCCTGCTCATTTTATAACATTTTAGGGAAAATACAATAGCCTACATTTTTCTTTATTGTTCCGAAATTAATATCACATTAATCGTGTGTAATTTTCTTCTTTTCTTCCTTTTGGCTGAGGGTATTAAAGCAGTTCAGAGAACGAAAAGTACATTTACCCTTACCTTTCAGATTTTCACTGATTTTTTTTATGCCGTTCCTTTATTCAGAAATAAATATAAAAATTACCAAGCAGTTTTGAAAACCAATGCCTAGTCTAAAAAATGTAACTAATAAAAAAGAATGGTGTACAATTGCACACGTTTCTTAGGCCTGTTTCTTGATAGAAATGTAAAATTTAACTAATAAAAAAGCAATACGTGAACTGAAGTCACAGCATCGGCGTTTATGAGACAACTTTGTTGTTATGAGCACTGCACTTTACATTTAGACCATATAGGCCTAACATTTTTTTAAGGAAAAGCACAAAGAATGTTATGTTTTAAGGAAAAAGGCCTGAAGATATCCCGGCAAGGGATACAAATAAGTGTTAATTTGGACTCACTATTACTGTAATATTATAGTTTCTTACTGTTTGCCAAAAACAAAACAAAAAAACAACTAAACAAAAGCTAAAATGAATATATACATATATACATATATATATATATGTCACGCCTAATAATGCACTAGTATGTGCTTTATGAGTACTAATAAACGGCTAATATAGTAATATGCAAGCAACTAGTTAATAACTAAAGTGTTACATTAAATAAATAAATGTTTGTGTGCGTGTATAGCGCCAGCTGGCACTCCTTATGTGTGTGTATGTTCTTTATGGGAAAATGCTTATGCAATTTAGCTTATTGGGTTCCCATTCTGATCGTATCTGCTTGTTGGTATATAATATGCATCATCAAATATTTTATTTAAAAACAAAACAGTGTAGTTTACAGCAGAAACGGCGACAAACGATCGTGACTCCTGGCAAGAACTCTGGCAGCTGATACATAAAAATGTATTATAATAATAATAAAATTGTGGGAACTTTGCATCATCATCATTTAAAAAAACACCACCGCACGCCACTGAGTACAGTGTAGTTTTACCGAGCAAACAGCAGGAACGGCGAGAAAGACCGTGGCAGCTGCCAGGTGGATGCCACCGGAAGTGGCGCTGCGACCTGCCGCTGCCTGAGAGAGCGCCAGTCCCTGCTGACTTTAACACTGTTGCCGCGGGTTGTTTTTCATGTCCACGGGTTGAAGCGACCCCAATAACGTGATATTTAGCCCCTAAAATTTTACCAGGAGAACCCCGCCAAAAAAAGTGTATTTATCCACCGGAACGCAATTTTTATCGGGGGACCCCCCTCGAAACGATTGGGCTAGTTTTGAGTAGCAATTGGGCGGGTTTTGTTGTGAAAACCTGGCAACCCTGTTCCTCCTCCTCCTCCTCCTCTTCTCGCGCACCATGATAAAACCTCCACATAGGCTCTCCACAAACTGCACTCAGTTACTGGATTTAATTAAACAAGTTAATACTAACATTATTGTAGACATATACCTGGAAGAGTAAAATACTTGTTTTATTGTTCAGGTAAGAACTGTAAATTTACTTATTGCTCTCTATAAGAACTTCGTATGCATATCATTTTAGTTTGAAGCTTCATGAATTCAGTATTTCATTGTGTATTTAGTTGAATGTCACAAATTACTCAGAACACTGGCATTCAACTTTTATTGCTAAACGAGGAGCAATATGTGCGTCAACCTTAGTCTGTCAACCCCACTCTTATAAAGGTGCTTAAAAGGTTCTTCACAGCGATGCCATAGAAGAACCATTTTTGGTTCCACAAAGAACCATTCAGTCAAAGGTTCTTTAAAGAACCATCTCTTTCTTACCTTTTTATAATCTAAAGAACCTTCTTTCGCCATAAAGAACATTTTGTGAAACAGAAAGGTTCTTCAGATGTTAAAGGTTCTTTATGGAACCATTTAGACAAACAACAGAGTCATTTTAATTGGTGTATGCTTAAATATAAATACAAAATACTTGATAACCTCTTGTCCAAACCGTAGCAAGTTCAACTTCTGTTCAAACAGGAAATTTCACCACAGAAACCTCTTCCTTTTCCCCTTGACATTGTGGTGGTCTGCGCACTGATGACATCAGCAGTGGCTTTGTAAATGTGCACTGACAAATTTAAAATCACTTTTCATGATCAAAATGAACTTGATTAAATTGAACTAAATATAACTAACTGTATATGCATGTCAAAATTACAGAGTTTTTCTTATCATATAGCCTTCCGTACATTCCCATACATAATTTTACATTTACATTACATTTAGTCATTTAGCAGACGCTTTTATCCAAAGCGACTTACAAATGAGGACAATAAAAGCAGTCAAAACTAACAAAAGAGCAACAATATATAAGTGCAAATGACAAGTCTCGGTTAGCCTAACACAGTACACATAGCAAGGTATATATATTACACACACACATACACACACACACACCTGTGTGAAGTTTAAGCTCAAGGCTTGTAAATCTGTTCTGCTGCATGCACACAAACACATATACAACAATAATCTGCATTTCACTTCTCAAAGTCTTAACATTCCTAAAGACTCAAAGGATTGTTGACATGACTTTTTCTTGCACTTCCAGCTGACAGCAGAGATTCAGTTCAAGACAACAATGCATTACATCTCCTCAATTAATCAGGATAATTCTTCGTACTGGACCTAGCTTTTATGTCCAGCCCATTTGAGTCACGTCTCTTGCTTGCACTGCATCCTGACCTGTTTAAGACAGTCAAGGCAAGTTATACTGGAATCATGTCAGTGACTGGACATGATAGTTCCACACAGGTCATCAGCAATGGTTCAGACCAGGATGAGAAGCAGGAAAAGTCAAGGAAAAGTGTGAATAAGGAGGCAGAATGGGGACACATTGCTATGTTTGACAAAAAAGAGGACTTTTTCCAGATCTGTGACAGCGAGGGAAAGGGCTTCATCACACGTACGGATATGACGGTAAATTAGGGGTCCTTAAAGGGGACACCACTTGTTTTTTATTTTATTATATATTATTTTTTATCTGTCGTGGCTTTAGTATAACCAAACAGCTCTGTCGATTCAAATGAGGTTTTTATATTTTTTAGCCATTCTATGGCCATCAAAGTTTTGGTTCTAAATATTTAGAGTATATATTTACCTTCCTATTTAAAAGTTATTTTTTTATTTACAATGTTCATAATAGGCTGGTAAAATATCTAGTAGCAGAAAATTGTTGATGTCATTTTTCCATCTATTTCTTAGAGGCTGCACAAAGAATTGCCACTCACTACTGAGGAACTCGAGAACGTCTTTGACTCACTAGATCTTGACAAAAATGCATACCTGACGCTAGAAGAGTTTTCCTCTGGATTTAGTAAGTTTATCATCTCCTTCCAGACAAAAGGAGCTCTTCAAAAAATGATGTGTTATTTGCTGCAATATTTATAGCACAGCAAATGAAACTTTTCCAAGGCATATCTGTAACTGTTCCCCAGGTAACTTTCTTTATGGACGGAGAGTCTCTATGACAGAGGAACTAATGACTGCATCCTCTCAAATAGTTCCAGAAGCTCTTGATCAGAGTTCAGGAGATGAACAGCTGTCAGAGAACGAGGATGATGAAGAGAGACATTTCAGCATGTTGATGGAGAGCTTGGGTGCTAGCAATGTATTTGAAGAGTTAGTACTGGTGTTTTACAGTTTGCGCTGCACAAAATGCTTTACATTTATGTTTTATATAGCTACAAGTACTAACAGTTTCTTCTTCATTTCAGCCCGAGTGAGGTTCGCAACCTGTGGGCACAGCTCAGGAAAGATGAGCCTCACCTCTTGTCCAACTTTGAAGAGTTCCTGGCCCGTGTCACATATCAAATCAAAGAGGCACGACAAGAGAGGAAGGAGATGGAGAGTGCCCTCAGGAGGTGACTGAGAATGAATAGAGAGCAGTACCATCTAAAGTCACCCATGTTTAAGAACCAATAATCTGCTTTGTTTTCTTAATTTCCACAATGTCATTTGTGAATAATCTCTGCTTAGAGGCTTAATGTAATTCTCTATACACAATGCTGTTCTATCCATATCCAGTGATCACTTAGTTTAAGAGTTAACAGGATTTTACATACTTTTTTGGGGGGAATAAAGCGTATTTTGTTTAAATCTAGGTCAGAATGATGTGATTTGCAATTTGTATTGGTTAAAGATATGCAAAGAATTGCCCATTTGTGTTCAAGTCTTATGTGTCATAAGAATATTGGGCTCTATTGTGTAGTTGTGAAATCTTATGATCCTTTAATTATTACCTAACTGGATGTGAATGTCTAAGCCAGTGTTTTTGAATGTAAATACTAAATTTTGGGTGTAATATTATGTGAATGGCTTGTTTGTGGCATATCTTTGACTTTTGATTGCATTAGGCCAGTGGTTCCCAAACCTCTCCATGAAGTACCCCCAGCACTGCATGTTTTGTATGTCTCCCTATATCTGACACACCCACGTCAGGTCTTGCAGTCTCCACTAATGAGCTGATGAGTTGAATCAGGTGTGATAGATGAGGGAGACATACAAAGTGTGCAGGGCTGGGGGTTACTCCAGGACAGGTTTGAGAACCACTGCATTAGGCTTAAACATTAGACGCCATTGTCTCATTGCACAGGAAAGCAGCCACACATGACACTGAAATTTGCAGATTATATGAGGAAATGGAGCAACAGATCATTAATGAATAGTTTGAAGAAGCTTAAGTATAAAACATTTTTGTTCATAAAATAATTCCCATATTTCCAGTTGTGTTTTCATAATTTTGATGACCGTACTGTTATTCTAAAATGTGGAAAATATTAATAATGGAAAAGGAGTGGGTGCGTTCAAATTTTTGACTTTCAGTTTATACCTGTATATCTAATAAGAGCAATCAAAACAAAACAAAAAATCTCCTCATATTTCAAAACAGAAATGCAGTAATTCAATGAAAAAATCCTCACGCAAGCAAAGACCGAGCACATCCTCAGTGAAATACACTGAGGGAAAACCATCTGTCAAAAAGTGAGAAATCCTCACATATATTTTCTTAGAATACCTAAATATATGATTTATTGACATGGAAACATTTATTCTCTCACCTCTCTTTCTGTCATTTTAGAGAAGTTGATAAAGAGGAAGTGACTCAGCGTTCTAACAGGAAGACCTCCTCTCTAGCAAACGGTCTCTGTTCACCCTTCAGCACAGGGGATGATGGGAAGCCAGAGGTGGATGGGCGATCTGAAAAAGTAGCTGGGGACTCAGAAGGTGTAAATGGCAGAGTGGATGTAGAGGATGCACCACCGGATGGATGGCCTCTACGAAGAGTCATATCCATCGAGGAAGATCACCTCCCACATCTGCTGCAAGGAGACCCTCACCTTCTCCTCCATCAGCTAAGTGAAGAAGAAGAGTGGGGCAAAGAAGAAGGTCAGGTCAGTCTGACCAAGTCAAGCTCCCTGTACCCGTTCAATGCATCCCTGGCCTCTGCTGACTCTCCACCACCAGTTAGAGTGAAGAAGCTGTCTAAGAAGAAATGGATCAGAGGATACATACCCTCATCTGCACGGGGTCAGCCAGTCGGAAAGGAGACCCTCCAGCAGGCAAGTGAACCCTCAAAGATGTTGATTACCATAACAGAAGTGATTAACATATAGAAATCTTAAAGATACAGTAACAAAAAGTTATTTAATTCAAGAGAGAGGGTTTAAAATGGATATTTCTAGCACAAGAGACCATTAATATTGACCAGGGATGCCCAAACATGTTCCTGAAGGGCCAATGTCCTGCAGAGTTTAGCTCCAACACACTTACCTAGAAGTCTCTAGTGAGTCTGAAGACCTTGATTAGCTGGTTCAAGTGTGTTTAAATGGGGTTGAACCTAAACTCTGCAGGACCGTGGCCCTCCAGGAACAGGTTTGGACACAGCTGGTCTAAACTATATCCCTGTGTGCACTTTTCAACAAAACTGGCCTTTAACTGTAGTGTTAAGCGATCACTCTGGGTATTTTCGGCTGCAGGGTCCTGCAGAAAGATCCGCTGCTTCCCCTCAGCGCCTCTTTAAGGTCATTCTGGTGGGAAATTCCAGCGTTGGCAAAACCGCTCTGCTGCGACGCTTCTGTGATGGACAGTTTCATTCGGCCACCGCAGCCACTGTGGGTAAGTTGCTCTCCCACTCCAATTTACAATTGAACTTATTATAATTTAACACATGACTTTTTGCAATGGGGGATTTCAGAAAATTATGTCCTGCATTTTGGTTGCCCATTTACTGGAGTTTGCCTTATTTAGAAAAATGGATTACTCCTCTCTCTTGTGCTAATTGTTGTGATTAATACAGCCTTTCAAACCAAAGCAACCTTTGACAACTCTAGTCTGTGCATCGTTCTTGTGCTTTTCATTGCATTGTGTTTAAATGTGTGTGTGTGTGTGTGTAAACTAAACTTAAAAAGTATGAATTTCATTCTATTAGGTACAATCACCAACAAATGGCTTCTTCAAACAAACAAAGCTGGAGCTTTTTAGGCGTTTAGTTACTTTCAATCAATACACTTTATGTTCCACACAGAAATAATTCACAACAGTACCTCCTAGTGGCAATTATACCTTACTGCAAATTTTTATTATTATTTTGCCTGTTTTGATTTCATAAAGAGTCATGTTTTTAACAGTATTTTTTGTGTGCATATATACAAATTTATAATTTTGTATACATAAAACTAACCAACCAACCAAACTAAAAAAAAAACAAAACAAAAAAAACATTTCAATTGTGTTGTGCTGTGCAGGCATTGACTATAGTGTGCGGACACTGAATTTGGGGGACAGTCATGTGGCTCTTCAGTTATGGGACACTGCAGGCCAAGAAAGGTTAGGCCCCTGATACCTACATGGCACAAACAGGATCAAGTTGTGCATTCATATAATTAATATCATCTTGTTTAAGACATAAAGATTCAGCTTCAGTTTATATTCTTTATTTTTGTTCCTCAGTATGTGCTGTTATCCTTTTAAGCAGCTCTAAAAGCCTTGTTGTCTAGAGTAATCTATTGCATAATCAAAACATAATCTCGCTTGTCACTGATGATAAACATCCAGCATTAATAAAAGCAATGTCACTGTGCCCTGCAGGTATCGCAGCATTACCAAGCAGTTTTTCCGTAAGGCAGACGGCGTGGTGGTCATCTATGACATCACAATGGAGGACAGTTTCAGATCAGTCCGCACCTGGCTGGCCAGCATACTGGAGGCTGTAGGCGACCCTATACCCGTCATGCTCCTTGGCAACAAATCGGACAAGGAGAATGAGAGAGAAGTGCAGACAAAAGAGGCCAATATGCTAGCAGAGGTGTGGACATCTCTTGTGCTCTCAAACACACAGTATATCCCTTTAAAATATTAAAATTACCTAATAAGCTTTGTTTTTACTCTACATCACCTTATTCAACACAGTAAGCAGAGATTAATAGTAGTTTGCTGTATTTGATAGGAAGCAAACTTGATGTTCTACGAGTGCAGTGCTTACACTGGAGCTAATGTGCTGGAGGCCATGATTCATCTGGCCAGGTAAGAACTCAAAAAACACAATGAATGCAACATGTTATCAAATATTGTCATATTTTGTTTAGCTGTGATGTTTGTAACACCTCAGTCAGGGCTGCAAGTGCAACCCACAAAAAAGAGACCGTTATAAAACTGAGACCACTAACCGACAGTAAACATTATCAGATGTCAACCAGAAAGCTTGCAGTTTTCTTTTTTATTGTTAAAGTGTGATCAAATATGCGACTTTACAGATTGTGCGAACCTTATGTAGTTTATTTACTTTGACAGGCCCACTAAATATGCCTGGTGCCAGCCATGTTGAGATCACCTGATGCTAAGTTTATCTCAGTAACTCCACTATAATCAGACACTTTCAGCTGTTGAATAAATTAAATATGGAAGTGAAACGTGTGCGAATAGAGTATTTGGACAACCAAAAAATATTTAGAAAATATATAAATTTATACTTTTTTTTTTTTTTTTTAATATATATATGTAATTTTTTATATAAATGCATTTAATATTTAATATTGTGCATTTAAAATTTACATTTATTTATATTTATTTTTATATTATTTATAAGTATTTTAATGAATACTTGTATGTAAATGAAACTTGTTTATTGCTTTTTATTATTTTGTTTATTATTATTTATTTTTTCATATTTTTATTCTATTTTAATTTTAGTATTTTAATTAATATGCTTTAAGGGTCCTGAGGGAGCTGGAAGACAGAGTATGGGTAAACACGGTCAGACTGGTGGATCAACCTTTAAAGAAGAAAGCCTGCTGCAAGTGACCACACACACACACACACACACGTAACAAAAAACACACAGGTGAAATCACTTTAAGCTTTACGTATCATCGTCAAACCCCATTATACTCAATGTAAATAATTTAATGTTGGCTGAAAGAGGACAAATTCACTTATATTTGTATCAAACATTAATAGTGTAAAGTGTAAAAAGGTTTTTCATGTCTATTTGTCAAAGAGCATTGTATATCTGTGCACATCTGATGTATGTCTCCAATTGTAGATGAAGTATATTATAGATTCTCAGACCAGTTTATCACCTCATTTAAATGATCTTTGTACATATTCTATTTGTTAACGATACCAATTGTCAATCACAATACATTTATTGAGAAAATGTGTTCAGTCAAGCTGCATGTGACCAACTTATCCGTTATCCTATAAAACCAAGTGAGTGAGAGCAAAGTAATTCAGGAGAAAATGTGATTGTTTGTTACTTCCCATTTATTTAGCAATGCAATAGCCTCATTCAACCCACCTGAAGTCTTGCTAGTATCATGAAACCTGGATTTCAAACGTGCCAGGAAAACCTCATTGCATGAACAAGAAGTGTTTCAGTTACCATTCGCAGAGACCGTTCAGTTGACGACAACAACATGAAGCACCGAAATCTTCAAATATATTATTGAGGGAAGAACATTGGCTGGATTCATAATCAAAGATGTTGAGCCTCATTCGTTGTCTTCATCTGAACTGCTCTGGGATCATTTTACACAAAAGTTGTATGTGACAATGACTTGACAATTGACCAAGAACACAAAACCAAAAATATTCTTAAGTTAAAACTGTCACATTATGTTACACTAAAATAACAGATCTTGTAGGTCCTGTTTTTGATAAGAATGATTTAAAATAGTGTAGCTGCTCTTAGAGTACCTTTAGAAAAATCTTAGTGAAACCTGAATGAATTCAAATAAAGCAAAGGCAGAAAACATGCCAGTGGTCACTATATTAAACAACTCAACACTAACCCAATAAATATAACACAATAAAAGCACTTAAATATAAGCAAAACATCAAAAATGAAGTGAAAAAATGCCATTCATGCTCTTTTCATGTATGCATCCAAACTTAAGCATTTGTTCGATGAGGCACTATTGTACGATTCACATTGGCATATACTGTTCGGTAACACTTTCCTATCTTATAAGGTTAAATAAACACAAGCTTTGACATTCTCAGACTCATTAACAGTTACATTCAAAGTGATGTTTTCACAGTCTATCCTCTATGTGCATTTAAGAACGTGACACGTGATGACAAAATAGCTTTTAGTGCTGGACTGGCAGTAATGACATCACCGACGGGTCCTGCACTTCAGCAGCCTCTCTGATCCAGACAGAGGCAGAGGAGAGGCACAATCCGTCTCTCTGCTTATTTTAATATATTGTCATGTTTCTTTTAATTAAAAAAAGTTTGCAAATAAACAACATTGTCATTACAGTAGAAGTACCAGAAATATCTTGTATTGTATTTGACAGTGGGCAACCTTGGATCAAATGGGTCGAATAGGTTGAGAACCACTGTTTTAAATGTTAGACTTCTCACCACCTCCATTTACAGCCTCACCTCGTTATTCTCATTGGGCTTCACGATGATGCTGCCCAGGATCTCCTCTCCTCTCCGCACCGTCAAGTAATCCTCCAGATAAAACACTGTCTGCTTCCAGTGAGTGCTGGGAGCGTCGGGGGCTTGAAGGGAATGTACGACTCGGTTAGCACCAAATTTATTTGTAAAAGATAATAAGATAATAAGTGATGGTTGAACCTGTAGAGAAGCCTGTTTTCTTGTGACACTTGGTGAACTCAATGTTGAAGTACGTGACGAGAGCGTGAACATAGTCATTCCTCTGAATCTGCAGGCAGAAGGCCGAGGTGAACGTCAGATCCTCCGGCTTCACCGTGTAGATATCCACCTCCTGGAAGCGACATTTCACGTCTCACACTTTTTGGCAATACAGATTTTGTTTACTGTATGTAGAGATTATGATTGACCCGCATACGAGAACTAACAGTCCTTTGATGATCAGTTATGAGATACTTCAGCTGTGATCTACTGTAAGCTTGAAGTGTAATGCGGTTTATGTCATATAGCCTTAACCCACACATCTCTACAGATCCAGTTTCAAAGACTTTATTGTTTGGATGTGGCCATATTGGTGCCTGTATAAGTAGAGGAGTTGGCACCAAGCATCAGCCTTGGCGAACAAAGATCCTATTACTCTTTGTGCGAACAACCGCTCAGTAGCAGCATTGACCCTTTCATTTAGTACACCTCACCAAGAGGCCCAAATCATTCTCCTCTTCAAAGAGTTTGATCCCTCATGTGATTCAGAGCCTCGCTGAAAGCATGGCCTTCTCTTTCGTTCTTTCTCGTTCATTTGCTGGCGGCTATCCAGCTTTCTCTCTGTCCCTTACATTGTCTCTTTTTCTTTTGACATTTTTGATATTTAATATGTCTTCACTGTCAAACAGATAACAAACTTGCTCATGAAAATGAGGATTTTATTGCTCATAGTTTGCTCTTTTAGAGAAAACGTTCTTAAATGAGACAAACTTAAATATATTAACTTCATTTCAGATGTTTCTCCAAGACAAAAGAGACAATTGTTGAAGTAATGAAAGACTATAGAGTTACGGATATGAAAATATATATAGTATAGATCAGATATTTTGAGAATTAATACTAAGATCTCTGATTATTATTAAACTTTTTATATGTAGATCAAATTAAGCACAATTTGAAACATTGAGACATTCAATCACATTTACACACTGTCTCCGAAACTTCCGTCCGTCATAAAAAAAATTCTGATCAGGTTCGATTTTCTGCATTTTCACATCCCTACGGAAGCATTTTGATAGGAAAATATGACGAATACGAAAAAACGCATATGAACATTTCGGAGTTAGTGTGCAAGGATCTTTAAAATGATTTAAAATGCAAAACAAAAAGCTAGAAATAAGCTACATTAATAAATGAAGATGTATTTCTTATTTTAATATACTTTGTGAGAAAATTTTAAATTGTGATTTTCGAGACCTGAAAAACTCATGGAAATTAATAAAAATCTTTAAAAAAATCATGGAAAAATGTTGTAATAAATATAAACTTTGTTCAGTTGTCACATTTTGTTGGGTAGAAATTGCTATTTGCAAGATGGCTTAAAATTATTTAAAATAAGTAGCTAAAATAAAGATATTTATTTTTTTAATTCCTTATTTGAGGGAATTTTAAAAGTGTGATTTCTAGACCTGAAAAAGTAATGAGAATTTTTCAAATATTAAAAGGTCATGGAATAATAATAATAAAGGTCATCTAATAATAAAGCATAGATTTTTTTTGTTATTTCAAGTTCCAAGTAGAAATTGCTACTTGTGAATGAAATATAATAAAGATAATATTATCTACAACTTTTAGATATTATGTCATTTAAAAAATAATTATAATAATTTATTTTATATATATATATATATATATATATATATAATATTATGAATTTAATCTCATTCCTTTTTAGAAGAAATAATTGAGATAGAAATCTCATTTGTGTTTTTTCCTTCCTACTGTATTGCATGAGACACTTTATTACAACAAAATATATGCCTTCAAATTACCTACATGATGATATTATTAGCATTATATCCCATGAGGACTCATTTGTGTTGGCTAATTTAAATGAATGATTGGTGTTTGTGCATGTATTGAGATGAACACACGTTACCACGCTGTCATCAGGCGCTCTTTACTGCAAATTATTCTGTTATGTAACACCCACGCTACATGTGTTCCAAAGTAGCCTATCACACAGTCAATCAGTACTATGATTCAGTTCAGATCTTGCTCACATATACACACATATAGAGCATATACCCATACCTTAATGAGGCAGGAGTTGGTCACGACTTGTTTAGGATCTACTATGTCCACCAGGGGCTCCATCATAGCAACGTTCCGAATGCACGTCATGTCAAAACCATAGACGTTCTCCCACCCTGCAAGCACAGAGAAAATATATTTTTAAGACATTTTAAAACTCTGAAAAGTAGAAAATCTGTCTGGCTGTGTCTGGTCGTCTTCATTTGGCCCTAAAATAGACTCCTGCCTCCTCTGTGTCTGGCAGCATTTGATTACATCCCCTCACATGAGCGTTAGGCCGAAGCCAATCTCACACTTCCATCCAAAACAACGAGGAGGGAGTGGAAGGGATGGAGAAAAAGCAAACCTCTTGCTGCGGGGGAGTAATGGAACCCAACAGGAATTTTTTCCTAGTGTTTTTCTTTTCTTTCTTAAGCTAAATAAGTGTGGGATCCAAACCGAGACACTGATCAAGCCACATTGCAGAACGAGAAAGAGATACGATACAGTATTAAATGCTCATTTAATATAGTACCTGTTGACTCTTGGCAGTAAGTCTGTGTGTGTGTGTGTGTGTGTGTGTGTGTGTGTGTGTGATGAGGACACAAATTTGTATAATAACATGGGTATGACAGTAGTACCTGTTGACTCTTGGCAGTAAGTCTGTGTGTGTGTGTGTGTTTGTGCATGTTTATGTGGTTTATGAGGACACAAATTTGTATAATAACATGGGTATGACATAGGTGTTACAATGAGAAGGTGATTTATGAGGACATTTTCAGTGTCCCCGTAATTCAAAAGGCTTATAAATAATTCAGAATGAGATTTTTTGAAAATCTAAAAATGCAGAAAGTTTCCTGTGAGGGGTAGGGTTGGTGTAGGGCAATAGAAAATACGGTTTGTACAGTATAAAAACCATTACGCCTATGGAGAGTCCCCATAAACCATAAAAACAAACCTGTGTGTGTGTGTGTGTGTGAGTACTCACAATGGATTTTGAAGTCTTTGTATTGCCGATCCTCAATGGCAACCACATACAATGTCGCTCTGTCTGGAAACATGAAACCACCAGGTTTCTGAAAAATGACAGGAAAGAGAATCTACAGATCTCACATCTGAAAAAGATTTATGGGTAGTTGACGTATGTCCAATTTACAAAATTCACATATTATTATTATTAGTAGTAGTAGTAGTAGTAAAAAATGGATAGGTCATAAATAAAAGCTCATAAAACACAATACAATATAATAATAATATAATAATTATTATCTTTATTGTTATAATTAGTATGTCATAAATTGACATATAATGTAATTTAAAAATTCTAATTTAAAAATATTATAAGTTCAACTATCATTAGTAGTATACATAATAGGTCATAAAACATAATATAATATAATATTTTAGTAATTATAAAAATATTATTTTAAAATCTTTTAAATATTCTGAATTAGAATTTGTTGAAATATTATCATTATAAATAAAATGAGGTCATAAATCAACATATAATGTAATATAATAATCATTATTATAATAAGTATCATTTAAATAATCTATCATTATTATCTAAAATCCTTTAATTAGTTTTAATATTTTTTAATTTTTTATACTATAAATAATATGAATATAATAATTATTATCTAAATTAGATGGAAATCTTTTATTAATATCTAATCTTTTAATCTTTTATAGATTAATTATATCTTGTCACACCACAGGACACTGTTGAAACTACCCTCATAAAATATTTTAATCTTCAAAAACGTGTTCCTGGCATATGCGTGATTATATTCCTATTATTCCAGTGACTTCACATCATTCTTTCTTTTCCTTCCTGTTCAATGCACCATAAAAATAACCCTAGGGTGAAACAATGCCCTGGAACTAACACAATGGTTCCATAAAAATGTAAAAAAGCCACTTGTCCTCTGGACAAAATTGTCATTCAGTGGTAGACATTCATCAGCAGCCCAATGACTAGCCACTCATTCCCATTATAAATGATAATTTTCAGCATGGACACATGCTTCACATTCTAATTAGTCACATAACCTTGGCCTTGTGACAGCCAACACACACACACACACACTGACCAGCCATTTGTCCCTGGCGTAGATGACAGTATTGAGCATAGACTCGTAGAAAAGACAGTAGCCCATCCACTCTGAAATAATGATGTCCACCTGATCCACCGGCAGTTCAGTCTCCTCCACCTTCCCTTTAATGATGGTGATAACTGCAAAATGCACAGAAAAATGCAAGAATGTAAATTCATGAGCTGATTTTGTTCTATTTAATGTACAATTAAATATAAAATATATTTTATTCTAGAATATATTTATAACAATAAAGTGATAATTTTAGGTAAAACAAAATTTCCAGTTTTGCTTTATTACTAATTCCTAATGGATAAAATCTTTGTGGACTTTGTGGACGTCTCGCCCCACATTTTTTGTTGTACTCATAAATGTGTCAATATGCTGTAATATTTAATAATTATTATAATTAATATCGAAACTAGATAATCTATAATTATTATGTAAAATCTTTTAAATAGTTTTTACATTTACATTTTTAAAAGTTCAAATATTATTGGTAGTATCATATA